CGAGGGTCGGCGCGGTGGTCTGCGTCGTCGCGTTTTTGTTGCGGTTCGTTGGTCGTGTTGTGCGGCGGTGCTGCCGAGAAGGGCTTGTGCCCGCTGCCCAAGCCATGTGTCTATGTTAAGGGTCCGGCGGGCTTTTGCTTGGCGTAGGTTTGTGTACAAGGCGACCGGGGTGTCGTCGTGAGCCCGGCGGCGCTGTTTGATGCCGGTGTTGTCCGCTTGTGCTAGTGTATCCCCGTCCTGTGCGGTAGCTAGGTATTGTTCGTGGCATGTCTGGGTCCAGTACGCAGGTAGTGTAGTCCAATGGGTAGTGAACCATCGGCGGTGAAAGTCTTTGCCGAGGCGTGGTTGGGAGAGTGCGGTGGCCCATTGTTGGGTGTTGTGAGTCATAGTCGTTGCCATGCAGCCGGTGCCCGATAGATAAGGGGAAAACTGGCTCGCAGCCAGCTGTGCACATCGTGGCACGTCAGGTCTTCTGGGTTGCCGTCGGTATCGGCATCCCAGCGGAGTGCAAGGCTGTAAGCCGGTGGGGGGGCTGGGAGGAGTGCTGCGCGGCGGATTCATGAGCCACGTCATTTGGCCCCAGTGCTGAAGCGCTTGGGCCCAGTGTGTCGGTAGCGTGCTGGTGTTAGTGTCCGGTGATACAATGTACCCCAGGAGGATGTCCACCTTGTTCGTATGTGTCAGCCCAGCAAACCTCGGCGGCGAGAAGTACGTAATTGAGGTGTGGTGGCGCATTCGTAGTTGTCCCGCCGGGATGTGCAGGTTCCACGTAGCCCCTAATGCGTCCAGTGTGCGGTGACCGGTGGAGTGTTTGTAGCAAATACACCAGTACGCATACGGGCCTGCCATTGCAGCCGCGGTTGTGATTTTATTTGCGAGTGTCCTCCACCATTGGTCGGTGCGGCCTTGTAGGATAGCATCAATCCACCAGAACCGGTGACCTGGTGCCGGGGCGTCGTCCTTTCGTGTACTGCAGCTGTCCCAGGGGCCGTTGTATGTAGCCGGCTGGTCCGCGCCCATTTGTTGAGCGAGCCATATCTCGTGATGTGCCAGAAGGGGTTGAGCGGATAGCGCGGTACGGCCCAGCCATCGTGGTGTGATGCACCCGCATTGGCCGACACGGAGTTGCATGTTTCCCACCGTACTTGGGAAATAAGTTGGCAGGTGGAGGTACCGCCGAGCGAAGCTGCGGAAGTCGGGAGAGGTGGAGCCCATGCATGTGCCAGGAGCCGGTGAGCATGATCATGGGTTGGTATGGTGTACCGTGTGTGGACCGTTGCCGGTCATTTTCGTGCCATGCATCGGCCAGTGGTAAATCGAATGTAATCGCCATTTCTTGAGCCATCCGTGGTGGGTATATGTGCTGGTCCGGTAGGTAACCAGCTCATCGTGACTGTGATGCAGTCGGTGTCCGAGACGGCTGTCGAGGTGACCGGATTT